CCCTAAATTCCCCGAATCACAGGACACGAAGGCTTTAATTGGCACTTCTCACTTTTGCCCATTTCCAACGATATGCTTGAAGAATTTAAAAAAATCGCCCGTTGGATCTTAAAACGCGTGTTTAGTCCGCATGTTTAAAGGCAGGATTGTGCAAGTGTCCCGAAGTATTTGCCACGCCCTAAATTCCCCGAATCACAGGACACGAAGGCTTTAAGTCGCACGTGTCACTTTTGTCCAATAGCAAGCGGGTGGTTGAGGAATTTTAAAAAATCGCCCATTGGGTCTTCAAGCGTGTGTTTCGTCTGGATGTTTAAAGGAAGGATTATTGAAGCGTCCAACATTTTTTGCCACGCCCTAAATTCCCGAACTAAGTGACTGGGGCGGCTCTAACTAGTCCAGAATCGAAGCCCTTCTGTCAGCTGGGCGCGGTTTACCGTCACCTACCGCACGCACCTCGTAGCCGTCGCTACGAGGAGCGCGCACAAAATGGGCCGCTCCCGTTTCCCGTGGACAAAAACCGATTGATTGGCAATCAATCAAGGCGCGCCTAATTGAGGTCAGAGCTGATTGGCGGGCTTTTTGCCTCTCGAGCCAATTACGCGGGAAAGGCCGGCAAAAAGCGAGCGCGCCCTCCCATTGGCGCGCCGCCTGCCAAGTCAACGGCCCTCTAGGCCTCTTCGCCCTTTCAGTGGGGCCCCAATTCTAACGGTCACCGAAATAACTGCCATTGTCCGACATGGGGGCGCCGTTGGCCCTTTCAATGCCCGAAAGTACCGATCGCTCCTTTCACGTCGCGCCGCAGGTGGTGCAGGGCTTTTGTAACTCTTTTTAGGGCCGATCGCACCCTGGCAGGTGGCCGCTTTCCCTCAGCGGTGATGGATTGGGTGCTGCGGTGGTCTCAGTGCAGTGGCGCGCCCGCCCACCATGCGGACATTCCAAGCGCTTGGCGCTTCCGGTTGCAATTTGCCTAATTACTGGCTGTTAAGCCAATTAAGGCTGCGCCCCGCAGGGGGGCCAAGTGCCGCAGGATGGCGTCGGGCGCCCAGGGCGCAAGGCGCTGAAAACGCACGGGTGCGCCCCACCCAGGCGCACGCCGGTCGCTCAAATGAGCACCAGGTGCCGAGCGTGAAGGTACCGGACGACCCATTCATTGTGCGCACCGATCGCTTCCGACGCGTTTAACCATGCCGGTATTTGGCAGTGTTTGATGCAGGCGAAATGGGAATGTGGAGCGGCGTGTCGAAGGCCTTAAGCATAGTGTTCAGCATGTGAGTGTCCGGGGGGGATTGGGGGCGCCCTGGGAGAGGGCAACAGCGCCGCATTCACTTGTTTCTGTCAGTTTTTTGGCAGTTTGATTGATGTTTTGGTGGTTCGCAGCCTGTTCGAGCAGGAGATCATGTCGTACGTGCCGGCGGTGGAGTCGGGCAGGGGGGCGAGCGCCGCCCGCAGCCCCCACAGCTCGCCGATGGCGTCCCCCGGGCTGGGGCGGCACCGCGTGCCCGGGCCCCACAAGCGCGACTTCGAGGCCAAGCTGCGCAACTTCTACCGCAAGCTGGAGAGCAAGGGCTACGGCCAGGGGCCCGCCAAGTTCAAGTAAGAGTTTGCAGGGCCGCTTCGCCCGTCACTCACCTGCATGCTGTGTCCTGCAGGCTGCACGTGCGGCGCGACCATTTGCTGGAGGACGCGTTCAGGCGCATCATGTCCGCCAGCAAGAAGGAGCTGCAGAAGGGCAAGCTGTGCATCGTGTGGGACAACGAGGAGGGCCTGGACTACGGGGGCCCCTCCAGGGAGTTCTTCTTCCTGCTGTCGCGCGAGCTGTTCAACCCGTACTACGGCCTGTTCGAGTACTCGGCCAACGACACCTACACTGTCCAGGTTTCGCCGATGTCCGCTTTTGTGGACAACTACCACGACTGGTGAGTGTAGTTTGTTTGTTTGCAACAACGCGGTTGCCGGGCGCTTGTTTGGAGGCGGTTGCC